CACACACACACACACACACACACACACACACACACACACACACACACACACACACACACACACACACACACACACACACACGCACACACGCACACAGGTACGCAACTATCTGGGCATACATATATTGCTTGCATATGGATATTTATGTATATACAAAGACGCATCATCTTCAGAACGGACCAAACCATGCCGAGGAATTTCTTCACCAAAAGCGGAAGACCGCGACTTCATTGGGCTGTTCAAAAAGGCCTGCAGGCTCCTCCCATGGTGAAGGGACAGAAGAGGCCTCTTTGTCTTGTGTCCCCCCCAAAAACAAAAGCAACTAGTTACTTACATAAACAAGTACATAGACCAAGAAAGAACGGATTTATTTAACCAAAGAAAAGCAAGGAATTAATGAATAGGTAAATAAATGAATAAGCAACAAAAAATAGTGCACCATCGAACTTGAACATCAGCCAATGTTAAACCGCCTGTCCAGATGGACATGCCACCATTGTGTTTCCACAGGAGGATCTGGCTGGTGGATGGGATAGGATGATTGCGCCTCTTGAAACCCCTTCAGGTTGTCAAAAGTTGGCCTTCCTTTCTCGTTTTGTGGTCGGGGGGGAATCATTTTGAGGGGCGGCTCTTTTTCTTGAACATGGCACATACTCACTTCCCCACTTCGTGGACTTAGCGGCAAAGCACAAGTCTGGACCCCTTTTTCTCAGAAATCCACTCAGGAACTTGGTGGCGAAGCCAGCCATCCGGTTCCTTAGCTTTTTAGCCTTTAAGTGTTTAGTGGTTGGATGTCCATTTAACCCACTAAGAGTTTGTCACTTTTAGAGGGGGATCCGAACCGGACAGCCCAGGGAAGTGCGCGGTTCATTCTTGACGTCCCTGACGGCTTCCTTTTCAAAAGGCCAGAGGTCTTCCAGGTGCCCCAGCGATTGGTGCCCTTGCTCGCCCCTTTTTTGGTTGGGAGGGTTCCCCTACTAAAATAGACAAAACTGAAACAAAAATCGGGTACCAACTTCTTCTAACCTCAAACCACTGGACCTAGTCTTGTTTGTGAGAGCCGACTCCGGAAGCGGCAAGCCAGGTGCTCCCCTACTCTGGCGCCGGGCTGAGAACCGGCATGGACTTTCGCTGCGACAAACAAGAGCTGGGGCCACAACTGGCTGTGGGTCAACACCAATGGTACCATTTGGGGGTTTTCGGTGCACCACCCATTTTAGAACCTATTTTGGTGGGGATTGGTTGATGTTCACTGAGGGTACAGAGCTTTGACCCATGGCCAAATGGGTCTGTCTTTCTTGGGAGTTGGCACCCTTTGTTGGTGGTTTGCAAGGGAACCAAGAAAACACCAAGATGTTGGGGGGGGCCAACCTCAAAAAAGACAAATGGGAATTCGGAATTTTCCTTCCTGGAGCTTTCAATTGTACTCGCCTTCTGCCCTTGCACAACGCTTTGCTGGCTCGGGCAAAGTCTTGCCCTCCAGTCCAGGAGGATGCTGTTGGCCCTTGGTGCTCCGTCTCTTGGTGCCCATTTGGGTATTGTGTTAAAATAGGTGAACCCCACAATAGGGTGGTTTCCCCCTTTGGCTTCTCATCGAAACCTAAGTAAACACAAACACACTACTCCTGGTGAAAGGTTGGGTGCCCTCGCTCACCGCACTGTTGACCAACATCGAGGCAACGCTCTTCGCCATTTACCCTCTCGACCCAACTCGTTCAAATCCCACCAATCCATATGTCATCCTTGTTTCCCGTTCAGTTTCTAGCTGGAAGATCAAGGTACCAGAAGGCACCTGGTGTCTGGATCCTCTAGGGACCCCCTCCACGCGAGAGTGAATCCGGAAGGCCACAGCCACTGTCACTGAGGTCTGTGACACTGCGAGCTGGCGAGGCTGAAGCGAATTGGGGGGGACCTCAAAGTTGCACTGGCTTCCATTTGCTGAAGAATATGTTTTTCCTTCTTCTCTGAATAGTTTTTTTCTTCTTCTCCCGGTTTTAAAGGGAAAGGATTTCACTACTGGACTTATTTTTCCAATATTTTTTCCCGGGGGACTTCAGCAAAAGGCTGGGCCAATGACCCCATGGAAGGGGCTTGGTCGGAGATGTAAACGAACCCGGCGGCGCCAATGGCTTGCCGTCTGTTGCGGAACAGGACCAGAAGAAGAAAGCCGTAAGTAAGTATGGGGGTGTGGGACACCTTGCCAACTCGAGCCATGATCATAACACATGCACATATATATTATATTTACATATATATCACATACAATATGTGTTTATTTCGTCTCGAGGCCGCGCCTTCAGCTGCACCATTAAGTCTTACCTGGGAACAAAACAACTCGACATGTGTCAGCCGGGGCTGTGGCGCAATGGCAGCGCGCCCATGAACTTCATCGTGGGAGGTTGTGGGTTGAAATCCTTCCAGCCTCAATCTTTGGGCAAGACAAATTCCATCCTCAACAAAAGAAAACGTCAGTTAGGCAAAGCACGAGTTAGGCAAAACACGGCCTGGTTAAGCGCGGCCAGCAGAACGTTCGCAGCGTATCCATCGAATGATGAATCATCATGCGGCAGAGCTGACGGTCCAGTCCCATGTCCTTGGTGACCAGCCAAGCCCGTTGACACCTTGCCGCTGCAGGTGTCGGTGGCCGTCGCGTTCTGCTTCCCTACACCGTCTACAAGGTCCGCATCCGGAATCCGCGTGGTGTATTTGACAGGAGACATGTGTGGCTCAAAATTTTCAAGAGCTAGGGCAAACCGGTTTTGGTCTTCCATTTACCTTTTGGCCCGCCATTTTGACATCTTGAGCCACAGCCATGTGATCCCCAGGATTGGCGTTGGGCCAAGTTCTCCTTGGAGCGCCGTCGCCAGTCGCCAGGTGTATCGACAGCTCCGCTCCAACGAGCTGGCGAACCTGCGTCGAGCTGCCGAGGGCTCGGAGGAAAAGAGAGAGCGAGCGAGGGCCGTTGGACGAGCGAGGGAATTTGTTACTTGGAGGTCGAGCTCCAGCTCAAAGCGTGGAAGCTGCAAAGCGTGGAACAGGGAATTAATTGTAAAAACTTGTATGGTTGTGACCGAAGTTCCAGATGGTTTCCGCTAAGAGGGAATGAAAGCGCAAAGGGGCCAGTCATTGGGACGATTTCATTTCGAACCGCCCTTTTCGTCAGCAGTGAACAAGGACAACTCCCCTTGCAGGTCGCAAGGCGATTGCATTATTCTCGCTCTGTTTGATTGGACGAGTGTTTTTTTTGCTTCCTGATATTCTACCATGGTTTGTGCTCTTGAGAGGCTTGCTCGCACCAGGATTGCGCCGCGCTTCACAAGGACCACCAACAAAACCGGTAAAATGATGATCGGGGCCTTCGGTTTTCCTTCCGCGCCGAAGTTCTAGCTTCGTGCCGATGAGTTGTTTGGCCGCTTGGGCAGGCCTTAGACTGCATCATTATGCAAGCCAACTCGGCTCAGGCGGGGCTCGGTCTGGCCGGGGTTCAGCTGGGCGGACCTTTCATTGCCATGCCATGACATGTCCTTTTGGGGTTCCCGTATTTCTATTCCGTTTAACCAACAACCATTTTTTCTTTTTGTGAGCACGCCGAAGCAAAATGGAAGGGCTCAAGTGGCCCCAATTCCATCGTAAATGGGTACCTCTCAAGAAATTGCTGAGTTGGTTGGAGTCACAAAATCCGGCACCTTTAGACTGGCAGATGGGACGGTCTCCTGACGAAGCATTTGGGGTGATCAATCACAACCTTGCCCTCCAAAAGCACAACGGTATTGTAATAGATTTCCTCCAAGGCAACACCGAGAGCGGGGCCGCCTGAAACGACATTCCCGGGCCTCTTTCGCCCACTTTCGCTCCCTGTTTTTTCTCCTTTTTTTCTTTCGGCCTGAAGGAGGCTTGCTAAGACTTAGTAAGGCCATGTTGGCTATGCTTCAAGCAGGCTTGCTTGAAAAGAGAAGCCCAACAATGACACATCCCCGACATCGGCATCGGCCAAAGTTATGACCCGAAACCTTCCCAGAACTGTCCGGAAACCTTTGGGAACCCGCCCTGCCAACAGCCAAGGAGTCTTCTTCTTGGACCAAGCAAACGAGCGAGCGAGCGAGCGAGCAAGCGAGCAAGCAAGCAACCAAACTAATCAATCAGCCAACCGACCGACCCACCAACCATCGACCCACCGACCCATCCACCCACCGACCCACCGACCACCGACCCTTCGACTCACCCACCCACCTGATCGCATGGAATGGTTATTCAACAACCTCAGACAGCGCTACCCGCTTCCGCATCATGTGCGTGTTCTCCTACCATCAGGAACTACGTCCAATGAGGCGCTGCACGCGTAGCTGAATTCTGCCTTCCGCCAAATTCAACATATGCACAGAAGCACGCTGCAGCTAAAGTTGAGGTTGATGAGGCTAGCAAAGTTGCTAGCCCACAACTCAGCTCTATACAGCCCGGCATCCAGGCAAATGCCGAGTGCCCATGCTAGAAGGATAGGGCAGGCGCTGTGGACGGCACAATCCTGGCGGGAGTGGGTCAAGGAACAGGACCCCCAAAAAACTGCCCGGCGTTTCTTGCCATTGGCATCCCAAAGGGAGCAAGAGCAGGAGGCTATCAAGCAGTGCGCAATTCAGCGAAAGCCAGCTGCGCAAAGAAAGCGGACTGCTTTCACACTGGAAAGAAGCACAAGTGTGCGCCGGAGTGGTGTTCACTTGCGCAAGCCTGCCTCCAAGAAACGCGCGGGTGAAGGGTGATGCTTCTCACAAGTATTAGCGCACAAATCGTTATGTCACTGATGCCGGCTTTTGTTGGTGAGCAGTCAATGGATATATACCAGCCAGTGCCTTCTGCTGGGCTTCAAGTGTACAACAACGTTCGAGGGCGGGACAGGTGCAACGGGCGTTTTCTGTGGGCGCAAGACAGCTTGCGCGTGCAGTGACTACATGTCTGCCCTTTCTGCGCACTTGCGGGTGTAAGACAGCTTTGGTGCCCTTTGAGCATGTGTGTGTGTATGTGTGTGTATTAAGTGTGGGGGAAGTTTAGGTGAACCACGTGTGGGGCTTTCCGGGTCTACTGATTCAGAAACCCAGTTTCTAATGGCAACATGTTCAGTCTCTTGAACTGTTACATGTCAGAGCACAGAAACATCAACATATGACAAGCTCTTTGTTGTCAGACACTTCCACGGAGAAGCCTCATCCTTTTGCATGCTAATGAGGCATGATGCCGCAAGCCGTGTACAGATTCATTTTGCTTGCTATCAATGCAGAAAGATACAAACAAGAGCGTGGCTTCCCTGCCACCCCCCCCCACCCCAACCCCCAAAATCCCTGGGGTCGCAAGCGTGGTCGTAAGCATAAACAAACCCAACCAACCAACCAACCAACCATCCAACCCAACCAACCAACCAACCAACCCAACCCAACCCGAACCCAACCCAACCCGACCAACCCAACCCAACCCAACCCAACCAACCAACCCAACCCAACCCAACCCAACCCAACCCAACCCAACCCAACCCAACCCAACCCAACCCAACCCAACCCAACCCAACCCAACCCAACCCAACCCAACCCAACCCAACCCAACCCAACCCAACCCAACCCAACCCAACCCAACCCAACCCAACCCAACCCAACCCAACCCAACCCAACGAACCAACCAACTCAACCCCCAACTCAACCCAACCCAGCCCAACCCAACCCAAAACCCAACCCAACCCAACCCAACCCAAAACCCAACTCAACCCAACCCAACCCGAAACCCAACCAACCATCCATCCATCCATCCATCCAACCAACCAACCAACCAACCAAGCAAGCAAACAAAAAAACCAAACCAAACTAACAAACCAACCAAAGCAACCAACCAAAGCAAGCAGCCAACCAACCAACCAACCAACCAACCAACCAACAAACCAACCCGCCAGCCAGCCAGCCAGCCAGCCAGCCAACCAGCCAGCCAGCCAGCCAGCCAGCCAACCAGCCAGCCAGCCAGCCAGCCAGCCAGCCAGCCACCCACCCACCCACCCATCCACCCACCAACCAACCAACCAACCAACCAACCAACCAACCAACCAACCAACCAACCAACTAACCAAAGCAACCAAAGCAACGAAAGCAACGAAAGCAACGAAGCTAAGCAAACCAAGCAAACCAACCAAGCAACAGCCAAGGCGTGTAGGCCTGAGCCTTTGGACTAGGCTTCTCTGCGGAAGACTGCAATGCGAGCCGGCAGCTGAGTGGGTGGGATCTTGGATTTGCCTCACAGGCCCGCATGCCTTTCAGGGTGCAGGAAATGGGGGGGGGTTCCTTATTTCAGGTTGGTGAAATAAAACTTATCCACCCTCACTACACGGTTGACTGTGCATGAGGTCATGTCACAATGTCCCTTAGTAAGAGGAAAAGGTGGAAGCGGTTTCTCACTCATGTAAGGTGCCAGATCGGTCATGTGGCCTCCTTCGAAACAAAATGCCACCATAACGTCGTTGTCATCGCCATCGTCATCTGCATCGTCGTCCTCGTCCTCGTCCTCCTCGTCCTCGTTGTTACCGCCATCGTCATCATCATCATCATCATCATCATCATCATCATCATCATCATCATCATCATCACGACTGACGATTTGGCATGCTTAATCTGATGAGCGGATCAACCTTGCAAATGACACCTGTGAAACATATTTGGCCGAACTTTCCGAAAGTATCGATTTGCTGGAACCAGTTGCATTTGCTCTTGCCGCGGTCCTTCTCTTCTTGCTGAGTGGATAGCAGCGATTATTCTCTTTGAAAATGGCCGTAAGGAGCATCACACAAATTAGGAGACAGCAGAAATGGAGAGAGATGCTGGGACAAGTCAATGAATCTCCCATGCTTTGCGCACGGTTCGAAGCGTCATGGCTAATTTTTTCATCTCGTGTATCAAAAGGAAGCCAGTCGCAAGCAATCATTTGGGGCTTCCCATTGACCCAGCATATTCAGATTTCCATGGGACAGGTGGACTGGTTGGAAACTTGAATTGATTGACCTGGTGCACCCTCCGGAGCCAGGCTTTGTGGATTCAGCGCTTGTTTGTACAGTATCCTTCCTGCCCAACAAGACATTTTCATTTGGGGTCAGCTAACTGGAATGCAGAGTCAACAGGGCACAGGGACAACTTGCACTTTGCGATTTCTTAGGGCGTGCTGTTTCCATGGCCTGCGTTCTCAGTCCGGGTTGAGCTGAGCCCTTCAATCGGCGCCGAGGGGTTTCATGGTTCAAATTCTTCAGCCTTTCTCAGGCATTGAGTGAGCTGGTGGACCTGGACATCTCGGTCCTAACTTTGAGGCGGACAGTTGAGAGAAAGACTTGAGCCACAATCAGAACCCGGGTAGATGAAGGTTAGAAAGGGGCAGTCCCAGCCAGAAGTAGTTGCGGCGGCCTTCTTAATTCTCTACATGGTTCTGGGTAGACCATTTGTACTACCGGGTTTTGAGTGTGACTCAGGGATTCCGATGGGACTCTGGTTGGCCGGAGATCTTGCGGGTGTGAAATGTTTTGGACACGTGGAGTGGCTGGGCTTATACATTTGTTTTCGAGCTGCTTTAAATTTAAAAAAGCAAGGCCGGGATCGTTGGGGGGGGGGCCTGCTGCAGAAACAAATCCAAATGGACCGATTGTGGTTGGTGGTAAAACAGACAGACAAAAGGACATAATTACTGGGCCTGCTGGGTGTTTCATATGTCCCAAATTCTTGCCCCCGGCTCCATTGTTGCAAAGCCTTCCTCACAAACAACACCACGAGCTGGCCAACAGAACCAAAGTTGCCCCTTCTGTAGGGAGTCCTGTTGGAGAAGGGGTCCATTCTCGTCCTCACTTGAATTTCAATTCTCGGGAAAGCTTCAGGGCCATGTTGAACCCCCCGGTTCAGGTGTGTCTCACGCGTGGAACCCTTCGTTTTCATGGTTCTCGAAAAGACACCAACAAATCGCCAACCATCTCTTGGTGGCTCCCAGCCATCCCCTTAGCTTGTTGGCTTTTTAGGGTTTAGTGGGGATTGGTTTAGTGGGGATTTCCATTTGCGAGCTAAAAGTTAAACTTTTAGCAGGGGATCTGAGGGCAACCCAGATCTTAAACAGTTGATATCGATTTTCCAGATCAAAAGACCTGCCTTGATGCCCTGGCAAGGGAAGAGGGTGCCAAGAGGCCTGGAGGAGTGGGTCGCAAAGGGACAGTACTCCACTTCCTTCTGTTTGAAGGCTGTCTATCTGGTCAAATTCGGACGAGCTCACCTGCTATGAGCGAATCCATGAAGGTCCCTTGGATTTCAGTTTTAGAATTGCGAATTGTAGCGATTTCCCCAGATTGGAGTTGGGCGTGGGTCAAAGAAACAAACACCAGGAATTGGACCGTAGGTTTGAGGCCTTGGTTCCAGGGCAAACATGGGGCAACCCCATTTTTGGCCCGCTGCCATTTGCGCAAGCGGGTTTTCTCCACAGCACCTTCAAATGGAGCGAACCCCACAAACCTGTAGCAACAATTTCGAAGCGGAAAGCCTGGGGTGATTCCATTTACTCGTTTCTTCAGGCCCGTGGAAGAGACGGTGGAGATGCGGCTTCGGGACGAGTCCTCCTGGGTGCGCCAGGCCGGACCGGAGCACATAACGAAACGAGCGCCATAGGTGTCCTTTTTGGTTGTTTAGGTAGAAAATAGATGGCCCTGGTTTACCTGGTATTTTAATCATCTACCAGGGCCATGTATTTCCCCTAAAAGGACACCCATGACGAGCTCGGTAGGACAACAGTCGGATGAACGCTGCCCGAAGTTCGTAGCTGAGTCCTTGGTTTTTCAAGTCGTCGTCTTGCTTCTTGCTTGTTTCGCTCATTTTGTGGGGTTTCGTCTGGTGCTTGCCAGTGTCGAACTTGCTGCGGGTCAGGTTGGACCCAGTTGATATCCTCGCCCCTACGCGGGTCCGAGTGGGGCTCCAAATCTTGGTGACCCGCAATTGTACCAATTTGTTGTTCAGGGCGAATTCAAGCGATCTCACTTAGGGAGCGGGGGGGGGGGGGGAATGTTGACCCAGGATTAATGCAGTACAATATACGAAACCTGTATTTCCTCGCTACAAAAGACCTACTCACGAAAGACCTACATTTCCTTACTTGTTATATAGAAAATTACCGCACAGCTACACGGCTACACCCCTGCTAGAAATTAAACATTGCGCTTTTTTCTATCCCTTTCGAGAGAGGATTCTTGACTCTCGAACCGGACCTCCCACAACAGCAAACACCAGGTTGATGGACCGGTCGACATTCAAACCTGAACCCCTTAATGAAGCTTCTTCTCTGAGTGAGGGGAGCCCTCGATTTGTGGAGAGGATTCACTTGAGTAAGTGATCCATGCCTTTGGCTGCATGGAGTAGATGGTCTTGTCAGTTGCGACCTTCTGGTGAGTGCCTGTTCAGCTCGCGATCCCGTGCTGGTGGTAGTTCGTCTCTTACGGGGAAGAGCATGGAAGCTTCATCTCTTTGGGTTCCATTTCTCTTAGCTTGGTGAGTTGTGAAATCTGCCCCGTGATGGTTTCAAGTTGCTTGCCTTTTGGGCTGGCGAGTGCGTTTCCGGTGCTCGACCCTATCTTCAAGATGGTTATCCTGATAGATTTGGCATGGACCACCCTTATCTGCGTATCATGTCAGCGCTGTACCGAGATCAGGCATGGCTAGAGGTACGACGATCCATGATGAAGGCCCTTTCTTTTGGGGATTCCTCAAAGTACCCGGGCAGTACAGGGAATCACGCTCCCGAATGGATGTTTTTCCAATACAGGGTACCTGCAAAGGGGTCTAAGTCTCTGAATGTGGGGCCCTTCAAATGACCAAATGAGAGGCTCTTGGGAGCAACGGTGGCTAGGCATTCTCTGGCCGACGAAACGGGCCGCAGGTGTCGTTGGACCTGCTGGGCCGCATCTTGGAAGGCAGCCTTGCGGAGGCAAGGGGTCTGATGAGAAAAATCTGAGTGAATCTTTTGACGACCTCACACGACCAAAAACCCCAAATGGTGGCTTATGGAATAACCCCCCAATCACCGCAAGTTTCAGGATTTTTTTACTTCTCCCAGAGAAATGGGGAAGCCTGCCTCACCCTTTTTCCCACTCCAACAGAGGGACAGATGGAGATCTGGAGATCTGCGCTTTGGAAGGCCTGGGTCTTGAGCGGCGCTCGGCTTGGATTTTCCGTTCATTCTTTGCCGTGTGCGGCAAAACACGAAGCTTTCACCGCAATGCCTTTGGTTCCACTGGGGTTCCCCCTTTCCCTCAGGGCCTGGTGTTTGGAAGGCCCGCCTTCGACCCCGTACGGATGAGCCACAAGCCGCCGAAAAAGCGGGTGGTTGGAAAGAACCTGGCCTTCCAAAGCGCGGCATGGAGCATATTTCTTGGTGGCGAAGCCAGCCATCCGGCTCCTTAGCTTTCTAGCCTTTTAGTGTTTCGAAAGTTCTTCACTTTGAGTGGGGGATCCGAATCAGACAGCCCGGATTTGATTTGTAACAAATTGTCGCCCCTGGACTTTGGGATTTGCCACCTAAGAGTTGCTGCATCTTGAGACCCGCAAAAGCAAGCATATCCGATGCGCCGCGACCAGCGGCCAGGGCCACTCGGGCGAGGCCTGGAGGGGCCTGAAGGTCCTTGAGCCTTGGGGTGTTTTTGTGGCAGTCCACTTGGGAGTCGCGGAAGCATGTTTCTCATTTCAATGGGTTTCGCCAAACTGGCTATTCTAAGGTGGGCCAAAATTCCTTGGTTGAAGGCTCGCATTCCATTCGAAGAGAAGCAGGCAGCAACCTTTGGGCTGTGGAGTTCCTCGGCCCGCAACACCCAAGGGTCGTGAAACCGGCATGGCTTTCCAGCAGCTGGCGCTTTTTGGGTGGACGCCAACGAACGGCTGCCACATCAGGGGTCGGCAGGATGCGCCTGTAGCCCGCCTTTCGAGTTCCCTCAAGCCAAAAGCTCGGGGCCTTTTTCTCGAGAGGGGGCTGTCAGGAGGTGAGAAGCCAAGTGATGCCGCAGCCTGTGCTGCAAACTATACCCAATCCCTCCTGTTGCGAAGACACATGGGTGCTGCAAACTCATGTTTTTTCGCAAAGCAAAGAAGCGTCTCTTCACTTGGCCGCTTCAAAAACTGTTTTCTAACACATGGGTCATGACTCACCCGACTTTTCCGGAGCCTCAGTCCTTGATCCTCCTCCGCAGCCGGCGTGTGCCCAAGATTTTTCTTTCCCCTCGGAGCCGGATTGAGCTGCTCCGGAGCGAGGAAATCCTCTCCGGTCTGTTGGGGAGAAGGGCAGATGTTCTCTCGCGCTGCGGATGGACGGGTGGTGACATCCAAATGGATGAGCCACCCGAAGCTTGGCACCGAACCGGGAACTCTGCCCGTAGGGGGGGGGGGCTCAAAAAAGGAAGGTGGTGGGGGGGAGGGGGGGGGGGTGGGGTGGGGCAAAAAGCATTTTTTTGGTTTGGGGTGCCCTTTGTGGGGTGCCCTTTTTGGACCGAGTGACTTCTGCATCCCAGCTACCATGTTTGTTACTTAGAGTGGATTTCTTGGAAGCAAGAGGTTCGCCTGAAAAAAACACTTTACCAGGGTTTTAGGGCTAGGGTGATTTGGTGGTTGATCAAAAGGTCCTGTACAATGGGTATGACCATCGGGGAACCCACAAGCAAGATGTGACTTGAATATGGGGAAAGTTTCCCAAAACTGGGAGCCGTTAAAGGGAGCCATTGATTCACCCCCGTTGGTCAACCCTGGAAAAGTGCTTTTCTCAGAAATCCAGGGGAAATAAAGGTGTTTACCACTAACCCCCCAAAAAAAATAATTCACTTTTTGCAGGGGGGTCAACAGCAGTCAAGTTAAGGGAGCCGTTGATCCACCCCCATCCCCCTCGGAGGGTCTACCTGGCCTTCCGGGCCGTTTGGGCGTTGATCTTCGTGGGGCACTTCGCGTGGCACTGCTACGACCTCGCGGTGGTGGCGGACCTGGGAATCTATTATTTGTTGCCGCTCACCACCCACGCTCTGAGCCTGAGACAAAACATATGAGTCGGCTTCAAAAATACCGTCATTTACTCTATGTAGGAGTGTTTCATGCACACCTTGTTTAGGTTTGTTTCTTGAAAAAACGATACGGGACGTCCAGAAAAAGATACCCCAAAGCATGAGAGAAAAACCTGGAAAACGGTACGGGACGTCCTAACATCGGAATGAATACACCCCAGACAAGTAGTTTTGACGCTGACTCATATCAAAAGGGGAAGCAAAGCATGGCAAAAGCCGGGCAAACGCATGGGGAGCAAAGGGCCAAGCTTCAATGGTGTTTGTCATTCTGTGTGTCAGGCTGGTGCTTTTAATGGCCAGCGTTGCCATTCCGCGTGCTTGTGTTCATCCCCAAAAAACGCCTGCCGTATATAATATGCGTACATGAAGTCCGAGCTTGTACTGGACTGAGATCTCCGCAAGTCAAACGCCTGCCACATAAGTACCATGATATCCGAGCTCCTTCCGCAAGTCTAAATCCGAGTTGGTTGAGCCATACCCTCCCACCGACTCACCGACTAACATGGAACTCCAAAAAGGCCAACTAGCCAAGAGGAAAGTCGTCTTTCTACAAGGATCTGTGCACAAACCCATGTGAGCCACAATCAAAACCTGGGTAGATGAAGGTTGGTACCCCTGGCCAGAAATAGTCGCGGATCTCCGCCTTTCTAATTCTTGAAGCATGGTTCTGGGTTCACCGTTTTTGTACCGATCGGTTTTGATTGAGATCCATGGAATCGCTGGTGGGCTAAAGTCAGCCGAGGATCGTGGAGACCTTCGACATGGTGCTGCAGCTTTGCGCCTGCCTCTGTGAGAGCCAAGCCTTGCTGTCGGCCTGTGTCGTGGTGAACGCCATCGCCCAGCCCCTGTCCCTGATCGTGGCTGGGCAACCGAACGGGCTCGCACCCTCGCACGGGCTCCCGCAGCCGCGGTTCGGGCTTTTTTCTTTTTGCATGGAGGGCTTTGAGCCCGTGATTCGGCCATGGGTTGCATAACCTATGGCTCCTTTTTGGGCCTGGATGAACATCCATTTGCCACCTATGTTGCTGTCGCTGAGTTTGCCCGACTTTTCTAGCAAAGAAACCCGAGGCTGCAAACTCGTGGCTAATTTTTCCAGTGACTCGGTTTTGTGACTTTTTCTGGGTGTGGAACAACACCAGGTGGCGCTGCTGTTTTGGGTCTTGCTGGTCGGAAATTCTGACGAAGACGTGGTCTACATCGACTACTTCGCCCACGGGATCAACTGCGGGCTGTTGCTGGTGAGCCTGTTGGTGGGCCGGATGCCCTACTCATGCTCCTACGCTCCTTGCTCTTCTGGGTTCTTTTTGTCTCCCTGGTGAACTGAGCAGTGCAAGTGGGCCACAATCAAAACCTGGGTAGATGAAGGTTAGTAAGGGGCAGTCCCAGCCAGAAACAGGTGCGGATCTCCGCCTTCTTAATTCTTGGTTCTGGGTAGACCATTTTACTACCGGGTTTTGATTGTGACTCAAGTGAAGGTTAGCAAGGAACAGCTTCAGCCAGACAAATCGGTGCAGATATCCGTGCCTTGGAGCGGCAACAGCCCTGATCCGCCCAACCAAGCAACCAAGCAACCAAGCAACCAAGCAACCAAGCAACCAAGCAACCAAGCAACCAAGCAACCAAGCAGCCAAGCCAAGCCAAGCCAAGCTAACCCAACCCAACCAAGGTCTTTCCCATGGTTGTTGTTGGGAACCATTTTACATTTGTGCTTATTGTGGTTTAGTGGTTGAAATCCAACCACTGAACTGCTAAAGTTCAATTTTTTGCTCCCCTTCCAACGTCAACCAAGTTCCATGTTGCGATGTCTTGCCAAAACATAAGCCGTGTTGAGCCAAAAGGAAGACCTAAACCCAACCAAGGTCTTTCCCGTAGGCCCTTCAAGGCTTCGATCGACTCATGAGCCCAGGCCGGCTGGGTGGTGCTCTTCGCGGTGGGCTGGATGGCATGGAGCTATCTCCACTACACCCTGCGTATCGGCACCAGGCAGCTCGAATCCGGTTCGCCTGAGAGCAAATCAGCTGAACAAAAGTTAATAATGTTTCCAACTGAGGGGGGAGACCCACATTTGGATGGTCACAACCTCTAAACGGATACCACAGAAGCTTTCTCCCAAGAGAAACTCAGCCTGACCTGTTTTGTTTCACAAACCTTGACTCACATGAGACCTACACGCAACTGTCTGGCGTTTCGGCAAGTAATTACAACAGTTGAGAGCCCAGACGGTCTCGGGACTCAGCAGGGCCACCAGCCCAGATCGCGTCTATCTCCTGTCGACCAAATCCATAGCCTTCAGCTGTCTGGGAGGAAAAGACACTCTTCTGGGCAGTTTCCACTCCCAAAGCCTTGGTCACCACGGCGTTGCTGGTGCGACAAGTATGGAATGATCCGCGGGTGTTTGGAACGAACCTCGGGTTTCACTTAAAGGAAACCATAGGGGACACTTTATAGGGGTCCTTCCAACTCATTCTCTGGCATCCAACCAGCAAGTTTTTAAGGGGGAAGTTGGGGTGGTGGGGCATTGGTTCGTGGTTTCGATTCAGTGGTTTGCGGATCTGAGCCCCAAGCTTTTGAACCCAACTGGGGAAGGTACCCAACCGTCCAAACCACCGAGCCACCGAGCCACCGAACCGCCGAACCACCACATCGCCACGAATTTGAATGAGGAACCCTTCTCAAAAGTGGCTGGTGGACATAACCCCCCCACCCAAGTGATGTCCACCATTTCAGGTCCCTCCTTCACAAACTCCATGGCGCGAAAGGGCCAGGTGAGGCAGAAGCGCTTTGTCGCGCACCGCGCGCCGCGCGTTTTTTTTTTTCTCCTCGCCGCCTGGGGCTCGCGGGGCTTTGCCGCGGTCGGCGACTGCTCAGCGGTCGGTGCCAGGTACGGGTGCCAGGGCTACGAGCGCCAGGACTGCCCCCTCTACGGGGTCTTGGACTGGCACTACCCCAAGGAGACTGGGGAGCTGCGCCGCGGCAACGGCGCTCCATGCGGTTCTTGGGCTCTCCGAAAAACAAAAAGCACTGGCCTCAAGGGACCTTAGAGCTTGATTTGAACCCCAAGCTTGCCAAAAGCTGGCCCGATTTCTTTTATACCAGGCCCAATGTCTCCCATGGCTTTGGTTTTGTTCCTTCTTGGGTTTTCCAAGACAACCAAAAGGGGGAGAAGAGGTATCGGTTTGGAATGTTGGAGTTTGAGGTCTCCCAAAGCTGATCCGGAGTGCTGAATCAAATGGTTCCCCGCCAACTAAAACCAGGGGCTGGTTGATGGGTCGATATTAGGCAACCTCTAAAATGCAGGGACACCTCAGAGAGAGGCATGAAAAGCCCTCTTATCAGCTGCAAGCAGCCCACCGGACTGGGTCCATGGAATTTTGAGGGGTTCTTGACACATTTCCGGTGGGGGCGCTTTCCCTTCAACTCTCCCACGGTGCTTTTTTTTTTTTGCGGCTGTCGCTTTGAACTCTGCCTTTATCCTTCCCAGAAATCGGAAGGTGTATGATTATATGTATATATATATATGTATATATGATTTTATGTATATATGAATATATATATATATATATATATATATGTATATATGTATATATATATATATATATGTATATATATATATATATATATACACATTTCTTTTTCACACTTTTAAGTGTGTTGTGAATGTACAATAATGCTACATTAAACCCAAACCTCATTAGATAATGTCTACTCATCACTCATCACAAGGACGGGCTAGCCGTTCGGTGCAACTCAGCCGGACGTCGGTTGAGGTGCTTGGTGGCGGGCCTGGTGGTGCCCTTGCTGGTGAGCGCGGTGTACTGCGGCATCGTGTGGGCTAGGGACGCCTGCGACAAGGCACGGCTCGGAGATGTTTTCCCCCCAAGACCCGCTGTGGGAAATCTCCTGAGCCACAATCAAAACCCGGGTAGATGAAGGTTAGCAAGGGGCAGTCCCAGCCGGAAATAGTTGCGGATATCCGCCTTTCTAACTCTTTACATGTTTCTGGGTTCACCATTTTTGTACCGATCGGTTTTGATTGCGACTCCTGTGCTCTGGGATGGCTTGCTCTTCCCCGAAGAACGGATGAGTGCAACTCCCGAGCGAAGTATCCCAGCGAGTCAGAGAAGGCAAGCATCAGACACCAACCAAGAAAGTGTATTTGTCCTGTGATTTTCTAAGCTTTTTGGTACACCGAGCAAGGCGCGTCAGAAACGGAAACCTCCCAAGGCACCTACTTTGGGACGGCTTGCGACCCCGAAGAACACCCTGGCCTTGCAAAAAGGTGTCAAACCCACTCAAAGCCCACTCAAACCCACTCAAACCCACTCAAACCCATTCAAAACCCATTCAAGACCAAAAAAAGCAAAAACAAAAAAATCAATCCCACTGAACACCAGGAGGAAGAGAGGCCCAAGGAGCCGGAGATGGAGCTGCTGCTGCTGGAGGAGGAACCCGCGAAACCCGCGAAGCCGGTGCCCTGCTGCCTGCGCTGCGCGTAGTCCATCGAAGCCGAGCCAAGCCAATTCGGGGAGACACGCGCACTCCCGTCTGGCTTGATGCTTTGGCCTTGTGGCAATTGGTCTTTCAGCAACATAGGCGTCCTTTTCTTTTGGGGGTGGTTTAGGTAGAAAAAAGGTGGGCTTCGATTCCTGGGTTACCCGGTATTTGAATCATCTACCAGGGCCATGTATTTCCACTAAAAGGACACCTATGCCCAGCACTTGGTGCCTTTTTTTTTCTTCTTTCTTTCTTTTCTTGGGGGGAGATTCGGTTCCCCTAGTAAAATAGACTGCAGAAATCAACAAAATCGGGTACCAACGTATTTGAACCTCTCTACTGGAGGAGCTTGGTGGGAAATCAAATCAAGCAATCCTGAAAGATCTCGTGTCACCAGGACTGGGCCCCCAATTTTTCACGCAAAGGGGTTCAGCCCGCTCAGGGCTGTCATGTTTTTTACTTTCTTTAGCACGTCTCACGCCTCCACTGCGAGGTTTACCGAACATAGGCCGTCGCACATGGCAAGCAGTTGCCAAAATGGGAGGCCCTCAACTTGAGCAAGGTTGTGCTTCTGTTTGTCCATACCCCGACTTTGTGGGGACTCCCAGTTTGGAAGTGTAGGTAAGTGCTCGAGTCTAATGGGCTTGAGCCCCTCGGGTGACGCCATATCGATCGACCACTCCAAAAAGGAGCATGCGTGGCTATGATTTTGGATGTCCAGATATGGGTATGGGTCAAATTAAACCACCAGGGGACCCTATTTTTGACCCCTTTTTTGACCCACAGCCATATCAACGCACAACTCAACATATGCCCATATACAGTCAAGTTGACACGTATCTCAGTGCCATTCTGCTATTGAGCAATTCAATCTCTTCTTCATCCGCCTCTTCCTCAATGTCATCCACCACCTCTTCCTCTTCTTCGCCCTCCTCAGCGTTGTCCAAGCCAACGTCCGAATCAAAGGACACGCATATGGCCGGGGACCTTCGATTTGAAAAAGGGGAACACTCGGTCAGATTGTTGGTCAGAAATCCCCCACGAAAATGATGTCCATAGGTCTATAGGGTTTGTTCAACCACTTGAAATTCATACCCCGACCACCGCATCTGGACGAGGGAAGTTTCTCGATTTTGTTTTTGGACTTGGCTTTGTCAGATTCGAGGGTTCTTTCACTTGGAAAGGCGAACCCCCTCCCCCCCTCCCTCCCCCCCCCCCCTCCCCTTCCCTTCCCCCTCCAGCCCTTCATTTTCCTTGGTGGTTCCCCAGCCCTCCGGGTTCCTTAGGTTTTTCTTCGGGTGTTTTCGTTGGACAAGTGGCCGAGTTTTTCCGCGCTTCGCCCGCCAAAAGGTTCCGTCACTGGCGAAGAAAAGGCGGAAGGCTGAGGCTTCGGGATGCGGTGAGCGGATCCTCGCAGGCCACTCCCAAGCTCTTGAGCATGGAGGGCCCGGGACCTCTGAAGAACCGAGCGCGCTGGGAGGTCCGTTTTTTTTTGTTTTTTTGGGGGGGGTTAAATTTAATTTAATTGCATATTGTTCCCATCTTATTCTCTTTTTTCATGGTATCTTTCTTTGGGAAGGCAAGCTTCAGCCTCCCTCGAATTGGTCTGGTGGTTTGGTGGTTAAGGTTTGGGGTCTCCCAAGGACCAGGGTTCAAACCACCAATTAATTGGGGGTTCCCTGATTAGCTTTGATTTCCTCACGGAGGTGATCTCGGATTTGTTTCGATCACGCAGTTACTTTGATGATCGAAACCGCCAGAAAAGTCGATCACGTTGGGGCTGCCAATTTTTGGCCTAGGGCTGAAAAGTCCAAGTAGTTGTGGGTCAAAGCTAAATTCAGCCACCAGGGGTTGTTTACATTTATCAGGGTTCCATCTGGGATTCCTATTTTCGGCCCACAGCCAAGTGGATGCTTGAACTTTCCGGTATGAAATGGTGGACTTTGGTCAAGGTCTCAACTGGGGGAACCTGTCATTTCCAGGTTCTCCGGACAAGTGAGGCTTGGTTGGGCTTTGAAAGAAGAAAGTACGGAGTTGTGAGCCAAGGGGTGCCATTCATTGTCCCACCTGGTTCCCTTTGTGAGACACAGAAGCGGCGAAAGTCGCCCAAAAGAACAGGCTTGTCCTGATTGTGGCTTTGGTTTTGGGTAGAAAGTTTTTTTTTTTTTTTTTTGTTTTAATATATATATATATATATATATATATATTTTTTGGTTGCCTTTCACCCAATGCGAGTCCACTTTTGGGTCGTGCAACGCGACTTGGCGGACCGAAGGGGACGCATGCCACGAGCTTAGGGTTGACTTGTAGGAATGTGGGTATGGCTCAAAATTAAAGAGCTAGGGTTACGCAGGTAGGCCTTGGTTCCATTTGCCAAGGTGCCATTTTGGTACCACTTTTTTGAGCCGCAGCCATGTTTCGGACTCAAACAAGTGACGGACACAGTGAGGGAAGCAGGATGCACTTGGCGGGGGCCCACGTGAGTATGGCTCAAACAGTACCTGAGAAACGTACTGGTCCATGGCTTTGGGTGGTCCCAAATTTCCCAGAAGATTTGGATTGGTGGTTTTGGATGTGAACCGGGCTCCAAACCACCAATGAGAGGGCCAGGCTTCCCAAAAAGAAAGACACCAAAAAAAAAAACATGTCGGCTCATATTCGCGCATCTAGCTGAGGCTCGGAGGCTACGGCGCGCTCGATGCTGCCACTGGGTGGCGATGTGGGTGGGTGCTATGCGATGGTGGGCGTCATCAAAATGGCTGTGGGTCAAAAATAGGTACACAAAATGGAACCCTCGCAAATGGAACCAAGGACTAAAACCAGCACTTCCGCGCACACGGGGGTGATCACCGAGTCATAGTCAAATACCCATTGATAGCCCCGTTTGGACGCAAGTTATAATCTACAAGTCATTTTGGATGCTGTATTTTTGTTGAAGGGGTGAAGCACTTGCGGACATTCTCTTCTGATCCTGACTTGATGTGGTTTTTAGCATCCCACAATCCCACTCTAAGAGTTTAGTGTCTCATGAGCCTGGTCAATTCATGAGGGCATGCTTTGCTTTTGGGGGACATAGCCTCCGAGAAACTCAACCAGGTTGGACGAATCCGGGGTCGTTTTTTTGGGGACTGCTGTCCTTCACATAGCGCAATCACCCATGCGGACGCCGCCCCCCTTTTGTGGGAGTTTCTTGTCCGGGGGAATCAACCGAGAGCTGTTTTGGGTGGCACACCCATTGTCTGGAGGCCGTGTTTTTCAAGCTGTGGCCGGTCTTGTTTTTGTTTTTATGGCATTGAACCAGGGCCGAAGTGAAAAGGCATGTCGCATTTGTTGTTCGAAAACCAGGGGGGGGGGAAGGGCCTTTTTTTGTCTTGGTGGCTCCCAGCCATCCCCTTAGCTTTTCAGCCTTTTGGTGTTTAGTGGTTGGATGTCCATTTGACTCACTAAACATGTTTTTTTTAGCAGGGGATCTAAGAACATCGGGCTTTCTACCCATTTCTCGGCCCAGGCTCCGCTTTCACAAGACAGTCCGCGGGCGGGACATCTGGGAGTCGGGGAGTCGCATCGCTGCGCGGTCGCACCTTGCACAGTGATCCATGCAAAGAGACTCGGTCAAGGTATTTTTCTTTCGGGTCTAGGGGGGATCCACTGCAAATTCACAGGCGATTCACTGGGGATTCACTGGGGATTCACTGGGGATTCACTGGGGATTCACTGGATTTCAGTATCAAAATCTGGCGGGTGGGGCAACCCTCATCGGCCATGTCCTGTGCGCAACGCAAATCTTGACCATTCGGAATTTGAGGAAGCGGGAACATGCTTCCCAGCGAAAAAAAACAACAACATCCACCTAGAAGCAGGTACATGCTTCCCAGCCAACAAAAACAACAACATCCACCTAAATACAGTCCCGTTTTCATTCCAAGTCCCACTTGATCTGCGAAGTCCCGCACCTCCGGCAGTCGGAGTTCGATCAAACATGCCGCGGCCTTCGCGCAGAAAACCCAAGTGGCCCATGCCACCCGCAGCGTGGGGCTCTTGAGCAGATCCAGGGCTTGGGCTGAAAATAGTTTTTCGCGTTTTCTTGTTTTCTTCATCTTTTCCTTTTTTTCCCCCTCCGTGAGAGAGAACTCCCCACTGAGAGCCGTGGATGGTTGGTTTACTTCCCTCTTTTGAACAGGGATGCGCAGAACCAGCGGTGCACGATTGGACTGGATAGTTTCATTGGCCAAGCGCAGGCGAAGGCTCACCGAAACCGATTTGGGGTAAGTTGAACCCATCCTATTGGTTCAGGAGATTCATCTTGGCGGGCGTGTTTTTGCAGCTTGGAGCCTCTTTTGGCCTTTGTTTGGAGTTGGAACCAAGAGAAAACAATGAAAAACCACCAACACCACCCTTTTCCTCTTGGGGGTCTTCTTTAAGGAGACCACCCCTGCTCTCATTTCCCAAAAGGAGAGCAAAAGGATCTGAGCCATGGCGCGGCTCTGGATGCTTGCTCTGCCTCTTCTGTTGCTGAGGCCCGCCTGCGGGTTCTGGTCACCGAATGGCTGGCTGGTAAAGGGAAACGGAATCAGAGGGTGGGTCAAAATCATGGAAATGTTGGATGCATTTGTGCCCATATTTTTTTTTTGCCCAAAGGTTGCAGGTCATGGGGCCATCGGGATTTGAATAGGTTGTTTTTTCAGGAAGCCTGACGTTGCACTCAGGCATGTTTTTTTTTTCCGCCCCTGTCCAGTTCCATGCGTGGTTAGGGTCCATGAATTCGAGTTTTGTGTTGGAAAGCCACCCAGTTGGGGTCCGAGCGCGCGGCTTCTCATTTAGTGTTGGTGCCCATCATCCACCCATCCGGAGGCCTGGTTTCTGGGACGAACCCGCAGTAAACCACCAGTGCAAGGTGTTTGGAGCTTCGTCTCCGGATCTTGGGAAAGGGGCGGCAGATCTAGTTGATTCCACATGATTCCAACCATCGCTCGCAAGGAGCCGCCGGTTTTTGGGCTTGACCGGGGGCGGTACTCCGCGGTCTTCTGCGGGGATCTAAAACGGGGGGCTCGCCGCCCGGGCGCGCCGCCGCGGCGGTAGCCCCCTCGATGCGTTGGCCCAGGTGTCCGAGCTTCCTGGCGCCCAGGCGGGCAGGGACGCCAGTGCTCAGTTCTTCAGTGGCACCCAGTCTTTTTTTTCCCCCCCCCTTGGTTTTTTTTGGGTGGCTGCCCCGCTAAGAAGGGTCCAAGCCCCAAAAAGGGGTTCCCTTCTTTCTTCCAGGGTCACTGAACAACTGAGCCAGAAAGGAAACCAAGAGGAGGCCTGTTGCCCCAGCCAGATGGGTTACCCGCAACCAGGGGCACAACAAGGCAAACCACCAACAAAGGAAGACCACAAAAAAGGAGGCCCCAAAACGGAAAACCACAAAACCAAAAGGAAGCCAAGCAAGCAACAGGGACACCAGAAGCCAAAAGGCCCAAAACAGGAGAACAAAAAGCAACAGGAAGTGGCAAGGCAACTAATAGAAACCAATGGTTTCCCAAAAGCCAAAGGAAGCCAGTGGCTTCAAGGCAAAAGGCACTTGGTCCTTGTAGCTTCCAGGCATTCAAGTACGGTGTCGAGGGGGCTGAATGAAGTCAGAGACACCAGGAAGCCCAACAAGGAACGACGCGGGGCTACGTGTTTGGGGCGGGGCGAAGGTTCAAATCTTGATTGCACGCTGCATAGGAGTTTCGGCCGCAGTATCAGTAGTCTATAGATTATTTGAGAGGGACTCACTCGGGGACTCATTCTCATTCACAAAGCGCGAAGAAAGAACCCAACTTGTTTTTTCTTCTCCGGCCGCAATTGAAAGGCATTGGGGTTGTTAACATAGAAACATCAAACAAAAACCGGCCGGGTTCATGTTGCTTTCCCACGAAAAAAAAGAAAGAAAGAAAGAAAGAAAGAAAGAAAGAAAGAAAGAAAGAAAGAAAGAAAGAAAGAAAGAAAGAAAGAAAGAAAGAAAGAAAGAAAGAAAGAAAAGAAAGAAAGAAAGAAAGAAAGAAAGCAAGAAAGAAAGAAAGAAAGAAAAGAACGAAAGAAAGAAAGAACGAAAGAAAAGGAAAGAAAGAAAGAAAAGAACAAAAGAAAGAAAGAAAGAAAGAAAGAAAGAAAGAAAGAAAGAAAGAAAGAAAGAAACAAAAAAACAACAACAACAGCACAACTGTCTGTGGCCGCAATGGAACGGCATCGGCTGCCCTGCCAGGAGTCTGACTCAGAGACGTGCCTCCTCCCGGGCCGAGGACGACGGCATTCTCGACGGCACCTTCAAGGACTCAGCGGGGCCATTGGCGGAGTCAGGGCGTGTCACCATAGGTGTGGATGGACGCGAACTCCTCTTAGGCACCACCTTTCAGAAACCCTGGTTTCTGATTCGATTCCCCTGTAAATACCAACAAACGTTATGGTTGCAACCATGGTTTCTTAGGTGGTGCGAAATGGATTTTGTCAATCCACAGTAGGTATCCTTTTTAGGTTAGGTTGATTGGAAATAGATGGGTTCCACTGGTTTAGGAGGGGTTTCTTCCAGTTACCAGGGCCATCTCGATTTCCAAAAGGCCACCTACGTGCGTGTCTTTTGTCGGTCTTTTCTACTAGCCCCATTATTTTACCAGTATCAAAGTCATCCTCCAAGTGGCAGGTTAAAGGGGAACCACCCCAGTTTCTGACTTTAAGAACACCAAGAACCAGGCAAAACAATGACCCCAGTAGGGTACCCGGTTTGGTTTGGCAAAGCAAAGCAAAGACGAGTGGGTCCCCAAAACCGCCGGGCCGTGGACCCTTGGAACAGGAAGTGGCCTCGAATCTGGTGGCCGCCTCGCCGCTGCTTCTCGCCCGGTTTTGGGGGTTTTCCTTGGGGGGGGGGGGGAGCCAGCCGTGACCAGCCGCGCCTTGCTGAAGTGAAGCCTCAAGACGACCTAGTTGAGGCCCTATTGTGGGTCAAAATCCAAATCGTACCCCGAGTGAACATCCCAATCCCCACCAAAATAGGTTCTAAAATGGGTGGTGCACCTACCCCAAAATGGTACCATTGGTTTTGACTCACAGCCATTTGAGGGCGCGCTATGTCTCAGTTGATTTGGTCTCAGCAACGTGTACATGTATATGCATAATATATATTAATGTGTTCGTGTAGCTACGCCTGCTGCACATGGACAATCTAGTGGTTTCATCGTCTGAGTTGTCTGATCTGGAGGTGTGGTTTGGGGTCCTTTGTGTTATCACCGAGCTGTCTTATTTGTGACATCCCAGGTGCGACACATACACTGTGCCTGTATAGTTGGCAGAGGACAATTTCGAACTATTGTTGATTCCTGGTCAGCACCCCCCCCCTAGGAATCAGGGATGTCCCTGCTTATCCTGGATTCTGTTCTTTTTGTGGGGAGGGGGGGATAAACAATTGGGGGGCTTATTAGGGAGGGACCACATCATCCCTTTTGAAAGGCTTCACAGAGACACACACACACACACATACTGTAAAACTGGTGTATCTGATTTGTGATACACATTGCTTCGCATTGCGTGATGCCCAGGCGAGACCTTTCTCTACAAGCTTCCCCAGTCTTTCCAGGGAACCGTTTGTTTGGGGAACCACCAAAGCGCATGGAAAACCGCAGGTTTCCGAACAAGCGGGAAGGAATTGCGAATCCATCCCAGATGGTTTCTCTTCAAAAGGCGCGTCGCTCAGAGACTTTGCCTGACACATGACAATGAGCAACTCACCACACACATTTATGGTCATGTCTGTCGACCTTCGGATAAGTTCATAGATTAATCCGGGATCCCCTTTTAGAGGGAAGTGTTCACATTTTTTGAGGAACCACCCGCCTGGATGATTTCAACGTCACTCTATATTCTTGGTGTTGGAGGATGAGAACTGGGTAAATTGGAGCGACCTCAAAAGGGGGTTTGCGAGCTCGCGCTCGCTCACTGTGAAGGTTCTTTCCGCCGCAATGTGGGGAACAAGTCGAAGACTGTCCGTTCCTCGCATTTTCAATCTGTTTCTTCAGTGAGTGGATCGCATGAGCAAGTATTGAACGAGAAAGGCGTTGGGCACACAAGACCCGAATGGGTTGCCAAAATTTTCCCATGCGGGGAATGCAACTAGTTTTCACCGTGGCTCAAAGTTGGGAACTTCCAAACCGGGCAGCTCATAATGCAGAAGAGCACGTCTTGCAACCGAAGATCAACAAGAGTGTAGGCCTTTGGCGCAGACGGCTACCCCATTTCCTCTGGTTTCCCTTTAACCACCAAGGCCTTGGGGCTCAGAATATATTCCCAAGTCATATGGGGTTGATCAAAAGGTCCTTTACATGGGATGAACATTTGTGGAAACCAGTACAACCTTGATGTTTTTCCCAAATGGTCATTTGGGAGCCCTACCAACCCCCATATCAACTTCAGAACAAGCCCCATATCAACCCAAACCCTTGAGAAACCCCGAGCTCACGAGGCCGGGGGTGGAGAAGGAGGCCCACGACGCCTACCGGGAGGGTCTGTCGTCGCAGACCTCGG